AAAAAACTGAATTACTCAAATCTGTCAAACCACCCTTAACAGATAAGTGAACCTAATAGTCATTCTGGTGGATTCTAGATGATTGTTTATGAAATCCTGCCTCAGCAGTCAGCTTACTGTTCTGTAATGGCGGATCCCATACAAGCAGTAAGTTGGGCGGGTAAAATTTATCCAAGTGTGGTTATATTCACGGCGCCCGGTGAGCCTCGTAGCTCAATGGTAGAGCGTTGGCTGCGCAGAAGCCTGCCCTGCTTTGTGGGTTCGACTCCCACCGAGGCCGCAAGTTTTTTTTCGCAATGGGGCCAACTAAGTTAAGCAAATCAGCCAAACCCCCCTAACAACATCCATTCTCACTATAAACTAAATCAAGAGCAAGATAGCGTTCCTGCACCTGCCTCTTTGTGTGGGCATACGGTGAAAATAGTCAGAATCGACGCTCAAATTGTCGTCAACTGACAGTAGCTGACTCAGCGTTCGCAATCCGCTTAAAAAAACCTTATTTCTCGAAGGGTTTACTTCAGTTTCCTGCACTACTTACCGAGGCATTTAAGAAGCGTAACATTTACCTCTTTTTCAAGAGAGATTGAAATTTACATAAAAAGAGCCTTCGGATAAAGCGTAGTTGGTTTATTCAATCGCAGTGATTTTCTGTGCAAAAAAGTCCTTTCAGTGTTGATAGTCAGCCTTAAGATCAATTCAGTTTCTTAGATGGCGCAGCTCAGTCACACATTTTAATTTGGAATCCGAACTGTTTCCGTTTGCTAAAGTCCCTTTTTCTTATAATCGGACTAATTTTCATTTCACCTTTCTCTCACCGCCCTAATTTTTCAGGAGGCCTCCAACATTACCTCAAACTTGGCGAATTTTGGACGAACATTTACGCGCAAGAAACTACCCTTCCATCAGTTAGCTGACTACTGGCAGAACAATCTTGAACTGCCCACTGCTCAACCTGAGCTCGAACCCGCCGTTGATGCAGATGTGGACGCTTATGCCACCCGACCTCCCACGGATACCACTTGTCTCGAAGCAACAGCTTCGGCTGAGACGAAACCCCGGACACCGTCGCCTACGCTGGATACTAATCTCACTCAGGCGGTTTCAGTTGACAGTCTTGCGCCCAGCTGTACGGGAACCTACATTCTTGACGTGAACGACACTCTAGCTGCCGAAGGCATTCCACCAGTCGTCATTGACCAGAAGGCTGAGGAGGCGTCTGACGTCGCGAATATTATGATTACATCCAAC